AGCAGCAGCGGCAGCAGCAGCAGGACCTCGCGCTGCAGAACGCCGCCGCTGCAGCTGACGGGGACAGCGCTGCTGCTGTTGTTGCAGCAGCAGCTGCTGCTGCTGCAACGGGCATTGAAGCAGAAGCAGCAGCACTCACAGCAAAGCACAGCACGGAGTGCATCTGGGCCATTACTGACTTGCTGCTGCTGCTGCTCAGCAGCTTCCATGCTTCCTCGAACCAGCTGCAGCGGCTGCTGCTGCTGCTGCCCCACATTGTGTCTCCTGCTGCTCTTCCTGCTGGCCGCCGCGCAGCTTCAGCGCAGGACTTCGACTCGAGGGCGCAGCAGCAGCTGCAGCAGGAGCAGCAGCAGGAGCAGCAGCAGGAGCAGCAGCAGGCCCAGCAGCAGCAGTTCCAGCTGGCCGTGCCCGCCGACCCGCAGCAGAAGCCGCAGCAGGAGCAGCAGCAGCAGCAGCAGCAGCAGCAGCAGCAGCGGCAGCAGCGGCTGCTGTCCACCCGGATTTGCGAACTGGTGCTGCTCATTCTGCAGCCGAAGCTGCTGCGGTGGGTGGTGCCTGCGGGCCCGGGCCCCACGCCTTTCAGCCGCCAGCAGCAGCAGCAGCAGCAGCAGCAGCAGCAGCAGCAGCGCGTGCTGCAGCAGCTAGAAGACTTCAAGGCCCCCACACTCACGGACTTCGGGCTGCTGTCGCCTCCCGGAGAAGTCGAAGGCCTTGCTGCAGCAGACAAGCAGCAGCTGCAGCACTTGGCGGAGGACGTGGGCAAGACACGCAAGTTGATCCAAACGCTGCAGCAGCAGGTGAGCAGCAGCAGCAGCTGCTGCTGCTGCCGGTGCTGCTGCTGCTGCGCTGCTGCTGCTGCTGCGGAGCCTTCAGTCAGCGGCGCGCCTCTAGGCACGACGCTGGGAGCGCTGCCTCTGCTGCCGCTGCTTCTACTGCTGCTGCTGCGGCTGTTTCCATCACCTCACCCCACTCTAGCTTCTGCTGCTGCTGCTGCTGCTGCTGCTGCTGCTGCTGCTGCTGCTGCTCTTAGGGCCGGAGCTTGTGGCGCACTGGGGACGGGCTGGAGTGCGTAATGGACTTTGCTGTGAGCGGTGTCTTCTGCGGCGACACGCGGCGTGCTGCTGCTGCTCTGCTGCAGCGGCCCGTGCTGCAGCTGCTGCAGCACTTCTTCCTGCAGCCGCTAGCTGCTGCAGCAGACGACGAAGTCACGCAGGTGTCGCTGCAGCTGCAGCACGAAATTCTGAGTTTGGCCTTTGGGGTTTCTCAGGGCCCCTCGGACCTGTGGTCAGTGCTGCTGCAGCACCAGCTGGGCACGCGCAGCAGCAGCAGCAGCAGCAGCGTGGCAGCAGCAGCAGCAGCAGCAGCAGACTCCGGCCTGCGCGCAGCAGACGCCCCCCTTCTTATCGAAGCTCTCAGTCTCATTTCTACTCTTACTCGGCTGCACCCTGCAGCAGCAGGAGTGTACGTGGACCCGTTGGTGCTGCTGATGGAGGTGTACGGGGTGCGGCAGCAGCAGCAGCAGCAGCAGCAGCAGCAGCGCGGCTTGCTGCAGGCAGCAGCAAACGCCGTGGGCGTGCTGCTCGACGTCCACCCCCCCCTCGAAGTCGCCATTCTAGACTGCTGCAGCACACTTTGCTGCTGGGGTGGGGCCCTTGCTGCGCAGCGGCTCAGCAGCAGCTTGCAGTCAGTCCCGGCGCTGCAGCTGGGGCGGCTGCTGCTGCTGCTGCTGCACCAGCTGGAGGCAGCAGTGCGGGGGCAGTACACGGCGCTGCCGCAGCAGCAGCAGATGCTGTTTGACGAGAGCCGGCTTGTGGCTGCAGCACGGACAGCAGCAGCAGCAGGCAGCGCGTTCGGGGGCCCCGGCCTGATCCCTTCGTTCCCCGGAGCAGCAGCAGCAGCAGCAGCAGCAGCAGCAGCAGGACCCTCAGTGCTGGAAGCTGAGGGGGCCTACCCCAGGGGGCTGCTTGCTGCACTTGATGCAGCCCTGTCGGCGCTGGCGGGCTGCAGCAGCAGCTGGCTGCTGATGCCGCTGCCGCTGCTGCCGCCGCTGCTGCCCGAGTCGCTCTCCTGGAGCAGCAGCAGCAGCAGCAGCAGCAGCAGCAGCAGCGGGGCCCCACACCGCTGCCGCCACGCACTGGACCTCGTCTATGCCGTGCTGCATGCAGGGGCCTCCACAAACCGGCTGCAGCTTGCTGCTGTTAAAGCTGCTTGCTTCGAGCTGCTGGCCCAGGGGGCAGTTCGGAATGCAGCAAACGCAATGGCTGTGCTGCTGCAGCTGGGGGGCCTCATAGACGGCTTGCGGCTGGACTTTGCTGCTGCTGCTGCAGCAGCAGACGCAGCAAGGCTCCTCATAGCCTTCTTCTCCTGCGTCGCGCTGCTGCTGCAGCGCGTGGGCATCCGCCGCCGCTTCGACGCTTCTTTGCTGCGCTTCTGCCTCGCCCTGGACCAGCAGCAGCAGCAGCAGCAGCAGCAGCAGCTCGTGCAGCGCCTCGAGGAGGCGGCCTCCCCTGCAGGCCCGGGGGCGCTCAAAGCAGCAGCAGCAGCAGCAGCAGCAACGGCAGGGCAGCCCGACAAAAGTGCTGCTGCTGCTTCCGTAGCAGCAGCACAAGCAGCAATGCTCAAGATCTGCGCCTTCACGTTTGAGGTGTACGTACAGGTGTTTGCTCCGCCCCCCGCGGCCCTGCAGCGCAGCAGGAAACAGCAGCAGCAGCAGCAGCAGCAGCAGCAGCAGCAGCAGCAGCAGCAGCAGCAGCAGTTCGTTCAGCCAGACCTCCCCCGCTGCCGCTACTGGCGCTTGGGGCTGCTGCTGACCCGCATCATCAGGACTTTCTTGAGGGGCCCCTTGCCTGCGGTGGCTGCGTGGACGGCTGCGGGCCCTGCAGCAGCAGCAGCAGCAGCAGCAGCAGCAGCAGCAGCAGCGGGGGCGCCTGGTGCAGCAGGCGGTGGGGCGGGCGCAGCAGCAGCCCCGAGAAGGAGCAGCGGCGAGCTGGAGGCGCCCGACGCCGTAGAAGCTGCTGCAGCAGATCTTGCTGCTGCAGCAGCAGAACCATTTGCTGATCCTGCCACTCTAGACTGGAGGCCCTGTGCCTTTGCCTTTATGCAGTTCCTTTGCCCGGATTCCCGTGCATTTGCTGCGCTGCTGCGGCTGACCTGCTCCGGTGCTGCTGCTGCTGCTGCTGCTGTTGGCGGCGCCCGCAGCAGCAGCAGCAGCAGCAGCAGCAGCAGCAGCAGCGAGCTAGACGACGAAGCCCCTAAAGCAGCACACTTCAGAGAGCGCTGCTGCCTCATGGGGGCTCATGTGCTGCGGCTTTTGCTGCAGCGGGATTTGCTGTTCATTGAAGTGTACAGGTGGCAGACGGGAGCAGCACGAGCAGCAGCAGCAGCGCGAGCAGCAGCAGCAGCAGCAAAATCGCCGGCAGCAGCAGCGGGGACCACTGGAGAGGAGCTGCGCCTCTTCGTTGCCTCGCTGCCCTATCTCAGCAGCAGCAGCAGCAGCAGCAGCAGCAGCAACAACAACAGCAGCAGCAGCATGATCGATGCTTTCGAGCTGCAGCCAATGCACGCGCAGCTGACTCTCCCGGCTGTGGCTCTGGCGCCGGCCCGGAACCAGCCAGCAGCAGCAGCAGCAGCAACAGCAACAGGATCAGCAGCAGCAGCAGCAGCAGCAGGGTTTCCTGCTGCTGCTGCTGCACCAGCTCTGGGGTTCGGGGGCGTGCTGCCGCCGTACTGCTGGTACATCTGTTTGCTGCTGCACCCCAACCAGTGCTTGGCTGTGCAGAAAGCAGCAGCATATGTGCTGCTGCAGCTGCAGCAGCGAGCAGCAGAAGATCTTGCTGCTGCGTTGGCAGCAAATCCGCTGCCGCTGCAGCACATGCGGGCTGCAGCGCGAGCGGCGCTGCAGGAAGAAGCAGCAGCAGACCCCAGCTGCTCCGTGGGGCCCCCCGCAGACTGGCGGCAGCAGGCAGCAGCAGCAGCAGCAGCAGGAGGCGACGAGGCCCTCTTAGATCCCCTCACTTCGAAGGCCCTCAGTTCTTTTTTTGTCTCGGAGCCTTCGGAGCAGCAGCGCAGCAAGTGGACGCATCTTCTGGAGACGCTGCGGGAGCAGCAGCAGCAGCGGCTGCAGCAGCAGCGCCTGCTGCAGCAGCACGTACTGCAGCAGCAGCAGCAGCCGCGGCAGCGAAGCCTCGCCCTGCCCTCCCCCAGGGGAGGCGCCTCGGCTGCTGCTTCCGTGTGCGGTGGCGGGGGCCGTCTTGCTGCAGCAGAAAAGGAAGCAGACGCAGCAGCGGCCGATGCAGCAGCAGCAGCAGCAGCAGCAGCAGCAGCAGCAGAGGAGACAAGCAGCAGCTGGGAACAGGGAGGCGCGCAGGCCCGGGCCTTCTTCGAGTCGGAGCAGCGGTTTCTTTTCTATCAGGAAGTGCGAGAAGTGGACGACTGCAGCAGCAGCAGCGCATGCAGGTGCTCCGACTGCAGCAGCAGCAGCAGCAGCAGCAGCAGCAGCAGCAGCAGGCGGCAGCTGCCTGCGACCTCCTCGGCGACGGCGCTGCCGCTCTGTGCTGCTCTTGACGAAAGGTGGCAGACAGTTGAAGACACAATGATTGAAGCAGCAGACGCAGCAACTTGGACAGCCCTGGCTCGCTGCATCGCGCTGCAGCAGCAGCAGCAGCAGCAGCAGCAGCAGCAGCAGCGGCGACAAAGCGACCCGCTGCTGGCTGGGGCGCCGCAGGGCGAGGGCGCGAGGCTGCTGTATGGGCGCGAAGCAGCAGCAGGAACAGCAGCAGCAGCGCCGGTGCTGTCAGCAGCAGCAATAGAGCTCGCGCTGCTGCTGCCGCTGCAGCCCCGTGCTGCTTGGCTGCTGCCGCCCTGGGCCCCCCCCAAAGAAATCCTTGTGGGGTCTTGTCTTCACTTGCCTGCTGCTGCTGCTGTTTCCAGATACCACAGCGTGTCTTTGCGGGAGTTGCTGCTGCTGCTGCTGCTGCAGGGGGTGCAGCAGACCTGCGGAGAGGGGGCGCCGCTAACGGCCGTGCCTTTCCCGCTGCTGCTGCTGGGCCTCGCCTTCAGCAGCAGCAGCAGCAGCGGCGCAGCAGCAGCAGGCTTGTCTTCCTTCGGAGTGCTGCCGTCGTGCAGCGAGGCGCTGCTGCTGCCGGCAGCAGCAGAAGCAGCAGCAGCAGCGCTGCAGCCGCTGCAGCCGCTGCAGTGGGCGCCGCGGACCCTGGAAAGAAGCAGCAGCCTTGTTGCTGCTGTGGTGGCTGTGGCGCAGCAGCTGCAGCAAGTCCCGCTGCTGCAGCAGGAAACAGGAGACCTGCCGCCGCATGCAGCAGCAGCAGATGGCAGCTTTTTGGGAGACGCGGAGCGGCAGCCCGCGCTTGCTGCAGTCTACACGCAGGTCTGCTGCAGCGTTGCTGCGCTGCAGCTGCTGCAGCTGCTGGCAGCACATCCCCAAACAGCAACTGCTGCGCTGCATGCAGTGGGCATTTTGTGGCCCGAGCGCTACCGCTTCCTGGAGCAGCAGCTGCTGCTGCGCTACCCCCTGGTCCCGCTGCTGCTGCGGCCCCCGCTGCTGCTGCTGCTGGCTGCATGCACGCAGCTGTGCCGCCTGGACGTGCAGCACGCGGCGGCGCGCGCAGCCGCAGCAGCCAGCAGCAGCAGCAGCAGCAGCAGCGGCGGCGGCGCTGCAGCGGTCTGGCAGCAGCAGCAGCAGCTCAATGAACGGCAGCGCACGCAGCAGCTAGCCAGAGTTTGCTGCCTCCTCATCAGTGCAGCAAGACAAGGCCAAAGGGACATTTTATCGGGGCTGCAGCGGCTGCTGTTTTTCTTCGTGGAAGCCATAGACGCAGACACCGAAGACCCGCAGCTGAGCTTCTTGCTGCTGCAGCAGCAGCAGCAGCAGCAGCAGCAGCAGCGCGCCCACGCCGCGCACTGCTGGGAGGCCGTCGACGGACTCGCCGAGAGACCCTCGGTAAAACTTGCAAGGATGGAAATGCGAAGGTGAGACACGGGCTGCTGCTGTTGCGCTGCTGCTGCTGTTGCGCTGCTGCTGCTGCGCTGCTGCTGCTGCTGCAGTGCTGCTGCTGCTTTTCGTTAAGATAGCGGTGCTGGTTGCTGCCGCTGCAGGGACTGAGGCGGCGCGCCTGTTTCGACGGGGCAGCAGCCCAGCGTTTGTGACGAATTGTGTCTATTGCTCCTGCTGCTGCTGCTGCTGCTGCTGCTGCTGCTGCTGCTGCTTACAGGCTGTGTGGGGTGCTGCAGCGAGCGCCGAACGGGAGAGGCAGCAACAATATGTGGCTGCTGCTGAGCCCCGAGCTGTTCTTGACGCATGTGCAGCGCATTTTGCGCGCGGCGGGCATTGCTGCGCCGCTGCCGCAGCAGCAGCAGCAGCAGCAGCTGTATGCAGCAGCAGCAAGCCTGCTGTGGATTGAGCTCTTCAGGACAACTTATCAGTCATCGCTGCGCGCTGCCCTGTACTGCGCCTTGGGGGCTCTTCCGGAGTTAGCTGCTGCTTGCTTCGAGCTGCAGCAGCAGCAGCAGCAGCAGGCGCTTTCCCCGCTGCAGCAGCAAGTGCTGCCGCGAGCAGCAGCAGCAGCAGCGGGAGCCCTCAGCAGCAGCAACTGCGGCCTTTTGGCGCAGCGCGCCGCAGAGGTCTTGGACTGCTACTTAACTAGTGAGCGCTTTTGCTGCTACAAGCTGCGGCAGATCTACGGCTTGGTTGTGCTGCAGCACTTGCTGCTGCTGGCGTGGGGTGTACAGGCAGCTGAGAGCAGCAGCATGCAGTCCCGGGCCTTCCCGCTGCAGCAGACGCAGCTGCTCGTGCTGCTGCTCACAGATGTGCCTCATTTGCTGCCGCCAGCAGCACGGGCGCTGCTGTACGGCAGCTTGCAGCTGCTGCTGACGCTGCCTGCTGCAGACCCGCAGCAGCAGCAGCAGCAGCGCGAGGAAGGCACAGCAGCAGCTGCTGCTGCCGCCAGCGCTGCAGCAAGCCCAATCTGCACGGCACTTATTCAAGAACTGCAGGCGGATGCAGACCGTTATCTCACCTTGTTGTTGCTGCTGCTCTTTGACGCCAGTCAGCAGCAAAGCAGCAGCAGCAGCAGCAGCAGCAGCAGTGTGCCCCGCTGGTGGGCTGAGCAGCAGCAGCAGCGGCCGTTCCTGCGGGGTGTACAGACAGCTGACGACCCCACATGTGTTGAACTCTTCGGGATTCGGTGCTGCCTTCCTCTTGCTGCTCTACGTCTGCTGCTGCTGCTGCTGCAGGGAATGCTGCAGCAGCAGCAGCAGAATGGCGGCGGCCCGTGGCAGTCGGGCCCTTTACTTCCGCGGGAGCTGCTGCTGCAGTCGAAGAGCAGCAGCAGCAGCGAGCGCGCAGCAGCTCCTGCTGTTGCTGCAGTGGGTCAGCTGTTTTTGGTTCACCTCTCAGGTGTGCAGGCGCTGCAGCGGCAGCAGCAGCAGCAGCAGCAGCAGCAATCGTGGCAGCAGCAAAACAGCCTCGCCCGAGCCTCGTGTCAGTTGGCTTCCCTGCTCTGTCTAGTAAGTGTGGAGCCAGCTCCCGCTGTTCGTGCTGCTGCTGCAGGTGCTGCTGCTGCTACTTTTGTGCCGCTGCTGCAGCTTTTCCCGCTGCTGCTGCTGCAGTTGACACTGCGGCTGTCTATGCTGCTGCTGCTGCTGAAAGAACCAGAGTCCAGAGCCTTCTTTAAGGCCCGTGTGTGGCCCCTTTGCTGCTGCTGCTGCTGCTGCTGCTGCTGCTACAGGACCCTCATTTTGCTTGGGGCCTGCAGTCTCAGCGTCTCTGGCAGCAGCAGACAGCGCTAGAGCTGCTGCTGAGCTCCCCGTTGCTGCAGCAGCAGGCGCGCATGCAGCCGGTGCTGCCGCTGCTGCAGCAGCGATGCTGGTCAGCTGCTGCTGCTGTCAGCTTCGGGAGAGTTTCTGTGCTGCTGCCTCCTTTGGGGCTCTTGTCGGACATTTTGAAAGTCATAGAGGTGCGCAGATGTGCTGCTGCAGCTGCTGCTGCAGCTGCTGCTGCTGCTGCTGCAGTTGCTGCTGCTGCTGCTGCAGTTGCCGCTGCTGCAGTCGCTGCTGCAGCAGTTGCTGTTTACTTCGTGCCGACAGCAGCAGGAGAGCAGCATCGGGTGCGGGTGCGCGTTGCGTGTGCTGCTGCTGCTGCTGCTGCTGCTGCTGCTGCTGCAGAGCCTGCTAACTTGCTTTGCTGAGGGGCCGTCGGCGCAGCTGCTGCAGCAGCTGCTGCTGTGGATGGAGCAGCAAGGGGACCTGCTGGATGCCCCGCTGCAGGTGTGCGTGCATTTGGCTGCACTGTGGCAGCAGCAGCAGCTGCTGCAGCAGACTTCCTCGGCCCTCGACTCTGAAGCAGCAGCAGCAGCAGATGGACTGCAGCAGAAGCAGTCCTCTGGGGGAGACGCAGCGCCAGCAACTGCTGCTGGCACCGCAGCAACCCCTGCAGCAGCAGCAGCAGCAGCAGCAGCAGACGACCAAGCTGCTGCTGCTGCTGTCGCCCCCGTGGGCTTTAAAGGCGCAGCAGCAGAAAACCCCACAGAAGACTTGCTGTTTGTTGCGCTGCTGAAGCTGCTTCGGGTGTACAGACACCTGCTGCATGCAGTGATAGAAGAGGCCCGGGCCAGGGCCCAGGCCCACCCGCTGCTGCAGCAGCAGCAGCAGCAGCCGCTGCTTTGCTTCCACACTGCGCGGCAAATGCTGCTGAAGGCGCTGCTGCTGCTTGCTGCAGTGACCCCGGACTGCAGCGTGGGGCCTGACGCCGTGCTGCTGCAGCGGGTGCAGCAGCAAGACCAGCAGCAGCAGTGGCAGCAGCAGCAAGCCGCTGCTCAAACTGGCCTGTGGCTGCGCGCCCAAGCACCTCAGCAGCAGCAGCAGCAGCAGCAAATTGGAGGCGCTGCTGCTGCAGCTGGAAGGGATGGCAATGCGCTGCTGCTGCAGCTGCTGCTGCCAGGCCCCTCGTTGAAATGGTCTCTGCTGCTGACGGGGACCCATGTTGTTGGTGAGCTTGCTGCTGCTGCTGTCTACTGCTGCTGCTGCTGTCTACTGCTGCTGCTGCTGCTGCTGTCTACTGCTGCTGCTGCTGCTGCTTACGGTGGCCTATTCTACACCCGAGCTTTGCTGCTGCTGTGGGTCGGCTGCTGCAGGCAGCAGCATCGAGGCGTTTGCTCTGAGCTGCTGGGGCGAAAGCAGCAGCAACAGCAGCAGCAGCAGCAGCAGAAGCAGCAGCAACACGGAAGCAGTGAGCCTATTCCTAAGCCATTGCAGCAGCTGCAGCTTCCCTGGCTATGCCCAAGCCACTCCTAGTGGGGCCTTCAAATTGCTGCAGCCAGGTCTGCTGCTGCTGCTGCTGCTGCTGTGTTGTGCACGCAGCTTGCTGCTGCTGCTGCTGAGGCTGCGCATGCAGTCACATGCACTGCAGTGCATGCAGCAGCCACGCTGCGGCTGCTGCTGGAGAGTCCGCCAGCAGCAGCAGCTGCTGCTGCTGCTTCGGAGCCGCAGGTGGGTGCAGCCGCTTCCGCACCTGCTGCTGCAGCTAACTCATTTCTGCTGCTGCGGCTGCTGCTGCAGCTGCTCCGCGTTTGCTGCTGCCCAATGCTGCTGCTTCTGCTGCACTTTCTGCTGCAGTTGCTCGCCTTTTGCTTCCGCTTCGCGTTGCGGTTGTTGCAGCTGCAGTCTCAGCGGCGGCTCCTCTGGCTTTGCTGCTGCTGCTGCTGCATTGCTGCTGCTGCTGCTGCATTGCTGCTGCTGCTGCTGCATTGCTGCTGCTGCTGCTGCTGCCTGGTTTTGTGAACAGGTGGTTTCCCTCATAGTGGCGACGCTGCAGTGCAGCCTCCACCTGCTGCGGGAGTTGGTGCTGCGGGCTCTGGGTGTACACCCTAAGGAGCAGCAGCAGCAGCAGCAGCAGGAAGAGCAGCAGCTGCTGCAGCTGCTGCTGCAGCGCAGCCAGCGCCTCGACGGCGGGCCACGTCCGCTGCATGCAGGTGCAGCAGAGGGCTAT